ACTATTAAGTAACTAACAATGTCATAGGATTTCATATCTTCCCTCTTGTTGGAAAAAATTTGGCTCTTGCTTTCATCTCGTATTTTGACATGGTATCACTTTCAGTTTCACAACACAAATGATTTAAATTCAAAATAGTACATTATGATGAAATAAATTTGACAACACTGTCGGAAGCGATAACGAATGTTCTATGTAACAAAGATAAAAGCAGAAAGGCGAAAACGTACGCTACATATGCAGAGGCGAAGAAGAACGTACAATATAGCACAATCACGTATATTTATCAACTGAAAAAAAATTACCCCTCTCAAGGTGCTCACGTTATATATAAATTATAATGTCCAAATACCGAATGTTATTCCTGTAACGTAAGTATTACTGGTGGAGCGGTGGACGTCTGTTCAATGTACGGAGGCGTAAGCGAGCTAAATGCATATATATATATATATATGTATGTATATTGTATATGTATATGTATATGCAATATATTCCTCACGGTGATGTCCACATGTTAAAAGTGAGCAACGGATAGAGACTGAACAATCCATTGTTCTCGGCGTGCAATTAGAGATTTTCGCCTCGATATGGCCTGTACGGTCGACTGCCCGCCAATTGTTCCCTGCATATTACATGCGTGTACAGTCGACTTTTTTAAAAAGAACTCAGGCACGCATCGTTGCGCCCCTGATGCTACGTACATTGTACGTTAACATATTATAACCTACCTACTGTATCAGTGCATCACTGTATGCTGCAGGACTTATTTATTAACGTTTCTGAACGTATCTGAACAGCAAACAAACAAACAAGCAGGAGAACTTTAAAAGAGACACTGCACTGTGTCATTCTAAATGACCTTATTGATTTGCAGCGAGAAGAATTTAATTTGCAACGTATTCGTTACTTGTCTTGTTGTTTGTCGCAACCGTGTAGCTTTGGTAGGTAATATAGGTCGAATATATGTGTGGTATACATCAGAAACACTCGATCCTGATGGATTTGAGATGCTAGTGTCTCAGCTTCGTTTTCGTGTAGGTAAATGACCAAAGGTCTCACAGCAAAAACTGAACGCTGACTATCATGTCGAACGCACTAAGTGCTATCTGGCAAGCAGTAAAAAACATTTTAAATTCTAAAGCTTCCAGAAAAGTGCAAAAGACCCCACGATGTCCTTTCGGAAAATGACCTTCTGTCAAATTCATTAAAACATTGGTTCTGGTAGTTCTTTACGTATAGATCAAAAGTCTCAATGGTGAAAACTCATCTTTTTAAGATATGGTCCCTTAAAGTTGCAATCTTCCGTAAGGACTTCCTAGGTACATTTATATCTGATACTATACGTACTGAATAGGTTCAAGTATATAGGCATATTATGGATGTGTCATGATATCAGATAAAGGATGGTAATCCACCCTGCACGTCGAGAACTATCAGAATTCAAAGAGTTTGACAGAATGCCATTTTCCGTAAGGATCCAGCAGGGTCCCATATAGCGCATTCATTGTAAATGTTTTAGGGTCCAATAAAAAAAATGGTTCTTTAATTTCTAATAATGATTAAATTCTATCACTTGAAAAATAAGACGGAAACTCTAAAGTCCTTTTGATCGCAATGCTCACCCTGTCCTTATCATCTTCCGAATGAAAGTAGGAGCTTTGTGAGTTGGTCCAGTTAAAATGGAAGCAACTATTTAAATGAAACCGGTCAATAGATTCCAATTTTTGCCATAGACAATCAATTTACATTACTCTACTTTTTGAATAAGTTTACATAATTTCAGTTTAAAGTTGACTTCAATCGTCTTAATTCAAAATTGAACGGGTCCAACTGGTCTATGTTATTGCGTTCGTGTAGGTATGTGCCTTATTATCCTTGAAACAAAGGTCAACACGCTCATTTTTTAAACAAAATAATAAAGTATTATGGAAAAATCTTCAGTGTCCTTATTTTTTTAAGTGCTTAATGTGCGCTGATAGATAACAGTCTACATATTATAGACGATTTACACATTTACCAATTCCTAAAACATTTTATTACAAATATCTTTATGGGAAGGAGAAACTAAATTCTTTGTAGTATCTATCCTGATATTATTTAAAAGATGATAATATACGTTAGTAATGTTCGGTTTATATTTTACTATTCCGGTAAAAAATCTTGATGCATTTCGTACTAATTAGTGTTGATTTCATCAATAAAAATCTTAAAAATTTCTACGCCTATAGAAACTAAATCTCAAAAAATATCCTTCCTTATCGAGACTTAACCACCAAAATAGACGAATATCTCAAATTTCAAGTTTATGTATGTTTGGTTCCAGCATTTCTTCAGTTAAAAATTCTGAAACCATTTATTAAAACAGTGGAAAAACATAAAATTAATGAAATCTGTAATGTGCATATTTGTACCACAAATTCAAATCCATTACAATGACAGGTAGGAATTATTTCAAGTGATTTTATTAATCATAGGTTCCCAAGTCAGGCGGATGCTGGAGCGTCACACCTCGTAATTTCGAATAGAACCGGAAACTTTCACTGACCTGCGTTGAACCAATCGTTTCCGGTAATACGGCACCATCATTAAACCATTTGTTCTCGATCATCATCGACATACAATAAAACTACAAAACTATGTACCTACAGATATGTTTGTAAGTATTCTGTTGAAACACACAAACGTTTATATGTATATATCTTACTAGGACATCGCACAATATCTGTACCCAAAAATTTACCTAGCAAAACACGATATGTTGTTGTTTCTGATTGGTATTTATCTCGGTATTGATTACTATTAGATACTAAATATTTATATTCAATACGCAGAAAATTCCACAAGTCTTTTCACGGTGGACTCTTAGTTATCCTTAATTTCGTAGTCTAACATACACTAACATTTAACCTACAGGTTCCCTTCATAAACCTACTATTCTAACCTTTTTACTAACAAACATTCAGTTTTATATCAGCATATATCTATTTGATACAACACTTTCAATAAGTAAAATAAAACAAACGAATATAAACATTTGGCGAATTTCATAGTGTTTATTATTTTGTCACTAATAAACTGTATACTTAAACATGATAGTGTCATAAACGAATGCCGCGAGCGGCGATCGATACAGTAGCGCATTTTGATCACACTCAATAACACGCGAACGAGACAACGCTCGCTGCATTATAAAAAGAATTCGGGGAAAATTTCCGAAATTATTCAGGAGCATTCTCTAATTTTTATTTTTTTGTTATCTGTTTTTAAATTATAGTGAAAAAACTGTTACTCTAGTTATAATCCATCCGCTATTTCTTGAATTACGTACAGTGGATTTCGGGTATAGAATATGAAGGGATCGCTGTAATTTCGTCATATCCGGAACTAACATCTATAAACCAACAGTACTTGCTGATTGTTTATGTGGACGTAACCAACATCGGTGGCTATAATTGCATAGGATTACTAAGAATTTGTTACAAATGATTAATTAAAAACAGCCGCTACACCCGAACTCGGCATTACATCCGAAATCGCTATAGCCACATGAATGTTGTACTAAACTATGATTTAATTTCAAGGGACTTACATTTAACGTCGCTATAACCAAGGTAGTAATAAACGAAATCCACTGTATGTCTATATCAATACATAGACTGATAGATGCTTTCTGACGATGTTCATTTGTACCTACACATCTATGTATATACCCACAGTAGGTACATAACTGATCGGCAGATACACTTTCCATTTTTAAACCCATAGCATTTGAACCATGTAATTCCCTTATAAATAGCAATTCCATTTATCACTAATGAAGACACTTAAAAGACCCTTTAAACACCATAATTTAGGATCATTAAATGCGGAATTAATTCACTGATTTCCACTACGAAGACTATTTGAAATTAGCTCGATTCGATAAAATAATAATTCAAAAATAAGTGCGGTACTGCACTTCTAAATGAGCGCGTACATTACGGGAACAATGATCTCGTTTTAGTCGTTTCAGAGCTTTAAAATCGGTTTACGATCGGCAGGTAGTTATGACCGTTAATTTTAGCTAATTAAAATCGAAAATGTTCTCAATAAAGCAGTCAAGCTCAACGACAAAAAAAAATGACGAAAGAAGTTACGTGGCCGAGCTCGTAGCTCCCATGTTACCTCTGGACTGCGCCGCATCGTTAAAGAATTATACGGCCATTAGATAAAGTCTCAACTGCTGTCAATTATTTGGTGTAATAAAACTGATAAACTATAAGGATATGCAGGGAGAGGAAGATGGAAAAGGTGAGTGAAGCGCGACACGCACAGCGCTTCTGGACTCCCAGCTTATTTTTAACCATTTTGGTTTTCACATAAATATCGTAGTTAACACTGAAAGTCGTTCATAACGACTCCGCTTATAGCGCCTGCTCGCATATACCACCGAAATTTGATAGAGAAAAGTCGGTTAATTCTGGATAGCCTAATTTTTTTACGTTGAATTATATAAAAGCCAGTTAACAATTTTTGGTAATTGAAAATACCTAAAATAAAATTATCTAGCCAAAGCGAAAGTATTTTCTTCATCTTATCATCATAAAGTCGTCAGTTCTAAGATAGGTTGAATACACACCTTCACTCTTTCCTATCCTGACCTAATCTTCGCAATTTCCTAAAACTAGAACATCCCATACCCTTAACTATTTGTGAACACTAATTTAATTTAGGTCTTCCCTCTACCCCTCTTAACTCCTGTTTCTGCTTCCAATATGTCCAATTAAGCCTTTATGCCTGAGAAGGTGTCCTACCAACCTACCTAGCCTATTTCTTATTGACTTCCACAGCAACCCCTAGTCTAATTATTCTTTCTAACATCTCCCCATTTCTAACATTCTCTATTTACGGCGTACCTTCATCATTCGTCTGGCCGTCACCCGTACAGAGCCGTGTTCCAGAGAGAAAATATTAATGTAAAGTAGATAACAGTCGAAATGTATCTATACAATCTTTCTTACCTTTGGTGATATTAAGCCTAATTTGCTCCTTTTCCCAAGATGCGAACGAGGCCTTCAGGGCCTCTGTCATAGTCTTGTTCGTTCCAGGAGTTAAAGGCGGTACCTGCGTCGGGATGTCTGAAAAAAATAAAGATTTTGTCAGAAAAACTATCTCCGTCAAAACACAAATAAGTAAAGGAAAAACAAACGCATTAAATATAGATGATAATTACGTTACAGACATAACTAGAAACTGATTGATGAGTAAATATATAATCTTTGCAAAATTGTGCATTATCTGATCTGTCAGTTTCCAGTAATTACGACGAACATTACAAGCGTTATTGTTATTGTTCTTCTGTGTTAGCCTTTCATAACGCGAGTTCGATTTATGAACATTTTTAAATTGTTAATGTGTTCTATTTCTAGCTCCAGAAACTCATATAGGTACACACGTCACATCAACAACATACGATTGTGAATAGAATTATCGCAGACATTTAAATAGCATCACGAAATCTAAAAAAAATGCTCCTGCTATGTAAATGATACTCTTTGAATTTTATTCAATTATAAATCGAAGATTACCTCAAGATAGGAAAGAGTGGAGGCACGTGTCCAACCAGTCTTAGGACTGATGACCTTATGATGATGATAAATCGACTATAATTTACAGAATTTTCTTGTTTTCTAATTTACACCTTGCATTTCCTTACGTTCTAAAAATCTATTACTTCTTCGAAGTGATTTCACCAAATTAGTGATCGGCGGGATACCGAACGAACGAGCAAAGGGGGTAGTATTATACTCTTCATCATCATAAGGTCGTTAGTCCTAAGACTGGAAGACTTCTTCTAGAACTTCCCACCAATTTCCATTCTATTTCCATTAAAAAAATGCCATTTAATTACCACTAATAATAATTAATGGTAATAAATAGAGAATTACCAATGGGATGAATGGAATTGCCACTAAAATTCTAGTGGAAATCCCATTCCCGAACTCAATGGGATTTCCATTGCCGAACGCAATGGGATTTTTATTGCGTTCCATCGGAACTTCCATTCCTGAATCCAATGAAAATCCTAGTGTCAATTCTTTATTTTTTACCTTTAATTATTGTTAGTGGTAATTAAATGACATTCTTTTTAATCAAGATGAAATATGANACATTCCTTACATTAATTTAAAATTCCCTAGTTGGAAACAGTAATTTTTTATTCAATTATACTTTCATATACGTAGTGTTACAGGCGAATGATGAGGATACCGTGGATAGAGAAGGTTAGAAATGAAGAGGTGTTAGAAAGAATAGGAGAACAGAGGACTCTATGGAGTCAATAAGAAATAGACGAGATCGGTTGGTAGTACACCTTCTCAGGTGTGAAGGTCTAGTCAGAGACATATTAGAGGCAGAGACGGGAGTTAGAAGGAGTAGAGGTAGACCTAGATTAGATTACTGTTCGCAAATAGTTAAGGATGTCGGATGTTCTAGTTTTAGGGAAATGCAAAGATTAGCTCACGATAGGAAGGAGTGAAGGTGCGTGTCCAACCAGTCTTAGGACTGACGACCTTATGATGATGATGATGATATGAAAGTTGTGCTTAAGAACCCCAGGAGATAGCAACAGCAGAGACCTTCTACATATAAATAAATAAAGACAGTTGAAGTCCCGAATGATGTTTTTGCAGGTTACGTAAAAATTAACTTTTTTAAAAGTCGACTATTTGACTTGATCGTTGCTATCGTTGCTCTTTGACTTGATGTGAAGCAATTTCAAGCTACTTGATATTACTTAATATCGACGAGAATCTATATACAGACCTACCTATTTACAAATTTTATATACGCAATTACGAACTCAAAGACAGTCCAGAATACCATTAACTTGAACATTTCCAAAAGAAAAGTAACTCAAAAATCTCTTTCACTACGGATAGTTGGCTTTTATATTAAATTCAGTATGAAAGGATGCTACAAAATGACCATCTGATTCATTGATAAATAATAATTAAAAACATTATTTCATCTTTTTGGATATTATTCCGACACATGGACAACAAACTGGTAGTGCAGAAGCAAAGCTATTATTTAATGTAGGTATGTATTACAATCCTACGACGTAACATATTTTATACAAGGAATTGTGACCGTCAAACACCCAAATTTTACCTTTATAAACGAACTGCAATATTTTATCTCTGACATTGGTCCCATAAATAGATATTTCTGTGTGCTGGGTGCAGATTTAAAAAAGGCGCACAAGACATTCCATGAACATATGTACATGATTAGGAGTTTGAAGACACACATTATACGAGGGGCCGTTTTTAAGTTCGCGAAATGGGGAGTAAGAAGTGGAAATAAAAGTATGAATTTATTTTTCCCTTTCAATATATTCGAAGGTTTCTTTTCAAGTTTAAAAACAGGTAACAATCGCTGGGAGCTTTGGTCAATTTTCCTCTCCTTTTTTCTTTGACTGCTTCTTTTAACCGCTCTAGGATTGAAGCATAGTATTTTCGGGTTAGGGAGATACCTTTATTTCTATAATCGATCAAGAGAATCCCTTCTGAGTCCCAAAAGACTGTCGCCATGATTTTCCCAGACGACTGTGACACCTTAAACTTCTTGGGTGATGGCGTGCCTTTTGTGTACCACTGCATATAGTCCTGTTTGGACTCAGCTTCGTAATGATGAACCCAAGTTTCGTCCCCAGTAACAATTCGAGTCAATTCTCCGTCTTTATCTTCACTACAGAGGTCTAAAAACGCACGAGAACACTCCATACGCTGTTGTTTTTGAGGAGGAATGAGCATTCTCGGCACCCATCTTGCGCTGACTTTAGTCATACCAAGGTAATGATCGTAAAGAATTTTAAAATACTCCTACCATTTCTGCGAGCTGTTTCTTCTTAAGTTGAGCATCTTTTAGTATTAATTTGTCGACTTTTTGAATGATTTCTGGAGGGGCCACCTCGATCCGCCGGCCTGGCAGTGGGTCGTCTTCAAGTGAGTCCTTGTCTTGCTTAAAGAGAGTATGCTATTTGTAAACCATGGTTTTTTACCTGGACGAGAGTCCCCGTAAACGAATGACATCACCTCCAGTATGGTTTGAACTGATTTTCCTTGCTTGATAAGGAACTTATGTAGAATCAGCTTTCCCCTTAGTATAGCTCCTCGTGTCTTCTGTAATCCTTTGATTGAAGGATCTCCCCGTTTGTCCAACATAGACTTGATTACAGTCTCCACATTCCAATAAATAAAGTCCTAATTTTGTTCCTTTATCAGTTTTATATTTATTATGTTTTATAAATTTGACTAGCGTATTACTAGTTTTAAAGGAATTTAGTATTTATGCTAATTTTGTAACAATTTTAATCAGAATATCTTCACCTGAAGAAGCCAATGTTATGGTGAAACAATTGTTGTGAACAATTAATATATATTTTTGAAACTTTACTTTCGTTTCCTTTAATCGATTATTGAGTTTGAACAAGTAAAACCTTCTACCATTAATTACTATTATATTGGAGTTTTAGAAATTGTTACTGCTATCCGAAACAGTAGGTTTATGAAGCTGCAAAGTAAAATAAAAATGATTCTAGATAGATTCCGTGGTAGAGAAATTGTAAAACATTTTGAATACTTACTTAATACTAAGTGAAATGCTCATTGATATTATAATTATCATCATAATTTTAATTGGGAATGAGCAACTCGTCATAAGTATACTTATAGCGGTTGGATGGGTACGTGCGTGTGTGCTTGCGTGTTGAGATTTCAGCAGACAAGCATTAAAACCTCCATTAGATTTTTTTTCACAGTTGTTTCGGTTCTATCAATTTTATGGGATTGCAAAGTGTATGATGAATATTACTGCAAATAATTCTATAAATTGTATTCTTATTGATACACAAAAAAAATATATTCTTGTGAATTAGTTTTAACAACTTCTGGGGACATCGAAAATTAATTACTATCAACAATTAATAAAATTTAATAGTCGAGCCATGGGGACTGGATGAAGAAGAAACATCTTCATGTAGTTTTATGGACGAAAAACGGCAAACGAATGTTTAACATTAACAGTATCTTTTTCTGCCGCTTGGAGTTAGGGGGCAGGAATAAATTTATAATTAAGATGAGTCAAGACTGTTCTTTTCGATGCAGGACATAAAGTTCCTGTATGCAGTTTTAGAATATTTTGCAAACCTACAAGGCGGCATTGTGTTAATTTGACCGTAAACCCTCCGAGGATGGCTAGATGCATCAATTAAATACTTAAATTAGTTTATAGGGGTAACGGTTCAAGAAGGATCCTTTACGATCCCCAATGCAGTTTCATTTTTATTATAAGGTGTTTATTTTATGGGTTTAATAGTTAGAAAGTGCCGTTAGTTGATTTTTGATGTATCCGATTTTCCAAGTTATAAACATCCCTCTCTTGCAATACTTTGAGTTGGAAAGCCCCGCCTTGTAAGTATCTACGGAATGTTTCAAGGGATTAATCACCAATGGTGATATTCGCCACACACTTGGCCTAGTGTTAAGTCTAGATATAAAAAGTGACCAAGGACTTTGAAAGAAGGACTTGAACAAGCACAAGGACTTGAACTAGCACTTGCACTTGTATGGTTAATCATAATTAATTATTCGTTTGGAGATATTCTGTAAATATTTGTAAATATATTTCTAATAAGTCGACTTCACTGCAAGACTTCTATTATTCTACCTTTCACCCCTTAATTAAGCAACACGCCTTATCAATTTAACGCGTGTGCAGATGTTCCCCTTGCAATAGTAAGTTCTCGAATATCTGCCCGTGAAATTTAACAATGAGTGTTGCGAATACGCCCAACTGTCATTATGATGACAAAAAACAATGAATTTATATTCGTGGAATGGTTATTTAATTAACTTGATATTCATACGAACGCCCTTCTAATGAAGCATACATGTACTAAATTTAAAATATAGAACGTGCAAGTCCCACGGATCCCTCGTTCTCCACTATATTTACTTAAGGGTGACGGGCTGTAACGCGTTTTATCCCTTTTCACGTACGAAGATGCACGAAACATTCGCGGACACTGGATTAGCCACTCTAACATCTCGGCCGACCTTGAAAGGTTGCACTT